TAGATCTATTTGAGATGATTCCCTTGACAGCAAAGTCTATGATGACACTTTTGAGTCCAAGGCTCATCTACTCTATAGATGAGACTACTTCCAGTGAAGTTTTTAAAAAAAGGCAACATCTTGAATTACTGTCAGATAGATTGCTTTGGTTTTCTATTCATGGTGCCAGATGAGTTTAAGGGAGCATAATCCAATAAAAACATTAAAATTAATTTTAAAAATTGGGCGCCTGGGTGGCTCAGATGGTTAAGCGTCTGCCTTTGGCTCAGGTCATGATCCCGGAGTCCTGGGATCGAGTCCCGCATCGGGCTCCCTGCTCTGCGGGAGGTCTGCTTCTCCCTCTGCCTCTCTCTCTCTCTCTCTCATGAATAAATAAATAAAATCTTTAAAAAAAATTAATTTTAAAAATTAAAGAAAAACAAACATTTTAATGGCTTTCCTTTTGTGGTTCCTCCAAATGAAACTATAAGACAGGGCTGATAACAAATATTTTTTTGTTTGTTTTTCTTCAATTTGGACCTCCTGCATAGATCTCTGATCAAAGAATGCCTACACAGATTCTGTAGTGTATAAATGACAAAATATCATATTATAAAATATTCCTTTCCCATCCTTTTGTATTCCCAGAGCAAAAAGTTAAATGAAGATTGTACTGGGCAGATAAAATAATTATTATATAAAATGAGTGGGCTTTGAATGGGACATGAAGGGATGACTTGTGAATTAGAAAAAAAATACATATAAAGATTTTATGAAGGTTTAATTAAAGCTTAACAACTGTGCTGTATTACTTAAAGGTGTTAGAATGATGATATGGAAATATCTTGCCTATTACTTAAGAATATCTCACAAAGTAACATCAAATCACCTATTAATACTTCCTACTAACAGCTTCCTCTTTGTTTCACTTTATCTAACGTGATGAATTGACATTTGTAGAAAATAAGGGGGGAAAACAGAAGAAATTGAACAGTTAGATAGGGTCAAAATAGAGTAGTAAACTAAGTAAATATCTAGTGAATATTATTATATTAAATATATGGTGTTTCAGTGCATGAACATTTATAAACTGAGAATTTTCAGGAGTGACAGCCAATGTAGAAAATCTAGATGGTGTTATGGAAAATTGCATAAAACCCTTTGCATTGGTTTAACAGTCTGGTATAATATTTAGAAACTGGACTGTGTAATTTCTATGAGCAGTTAAGCATAGAAAAACATGGCTGAAATAATGATGAACACAGAATTTACACAACTTTTTGTTTGTTTTTATCCTTTAATGCCCATATTGTGTTCATAATGTTCTAAGTATTTGTGGTTGTTAGAGCAAAATAAATTTGAAAATTTCCATGGGGGGGAAGCGTTATCTATCTTTAAAACAAAACAAAAACAAACAAAAACAAACTCAGGGCACCTTTCCTATGGTTGTTTGCTGCCCTTCCCTCACTGCTCAATGCATTTTCATTAACACCCACCACACAGTCCATAGGCAGCCATCTGTGTTCCTGTCTTTAAGAAATTTTATCCTACAATGTTTCTTCATGACATTCCTGCCTATTACATAAATCAAATAGACATTCAACCCCTTGGAATGGAATCAGAAACCCACAAAGCTGACTGCTGTCAAGACTCATAAGGAATGCAATTAATAAATTTATTATTTAGGAGGGGAGCTGTTTGCTTTCCAAAAATCCATGAAAATTGGAATGCTATCCAGAGTGTATATCAAAGTAACTAAGCTAAAAGTAGCTTTTTATCTTCAGGTTCACCTTTTTGATAGTCATTATGTTTTCTGCTTTATCTATGCTTCTGTCAGCTCTGCTAGTGTCAGAACACCAATCAACAAAGATCCATTTAGTACCAATTTTGTGTGTGTGTGTGTGATGAAAAGACAAATTTCTGCCACCATGGAGCATATGATCTAGAGTTTAAAATTCATATTTGTACTTAACACCAGAAATGTAAACATTTATAAAATTGAAAAGGAAATAGATGATAATGATGCTAAAGAGAAAATCTTAATATTAAAAAAATTAATTAAAATTGACATGTCTATTATTAGAAATAAAATATAGTCATATATTAACTAAAGTAAAATTTAATAAATATTTGGGGGCAGTGATGTCATCAAGATGGCAAAATGAATGGTTCCTTATTGACTGTTAAAGGTAAATGCATAGTCAAAACCAGATTCTCTAATAGTGTAATGGAGGTACATAAATTATTTACAACTCTAGTTTAAAAGTTAAAAAACAAGCCTATTAAAAATAACTACAATAATTTGTTATTGAATGTGCTGTATAAAAAAGATATAAAATATAAAAACATCAATAACCTATTGTTATAGACGTATAAATTTCCCATACAGTATTGATCTTAAGTTGTTATCAACTTAAAATAGAATGTTATAACTAACATATTTTATGTAAGCTTCATGGTAAATACAAAAGAAAAATATGTAGTAGATACACAAAAGATTTTGATAAAGGAGTTAAAGCATACTGCCACAAAAAGTCATCAAATTACAAATGAAGAGAACAAGACAGGAAATAAGGAACAACATACCTACAAAACAGAAAACAATAGAGAATCAAAACAGATAAACATGGGGGAAAGAAAAAAAAAAGAGGGAGGCAAATCATAAAAGACTCTTAACTATAGATAACAAATTGAGTGTCGGGGTGCCTGGGTGGCTCAGTAATTAGGTGTCTGCCTTCAGCTCAGGTCATGATCCCAGGGTCCTGGGATCGAGCCCCACATAGGACTCCCTGCTCAGTGGGGAATCTGCTTCTCCTCCTCCTTCCTGCTCCTGTGCTCTCTCCCACTATCTCTGTCTCTCTCAAATAAATAAATAAAATATTTAAAAATAATTTTAAAAATTAAAAAAAAAATAAAAATAAACACTATACCAGGGCTCCTGGGTGGCTCAGTTGGTTAAGCCTCTGCCTTCAGTTCAGGTCTTGATTGTAGGGTCCTGGGATCGAGTCCCACATAGGGCTCCCTGCTCAGCACGGACTCTGATTGTCCCTCTGTCCCTGCTCCTCCCCCTCTCTCATAAATAAATCTTAAAAACAAAATAAAACAACAACACAAAAAACACTATGTCGGTGGCGCCTGGGTGGCTCAGTCATTAAGCGTCTGCCTTTGGCTCAGGTCATGATCCCAGGGTCCTGGGATCGAGTCCCGCATCAGGCTCTCTGCTCCACGGGAAGCCTGCTTCTCCCTCTCCCACTCCCCCTGCTTGTGTTCTCTCTCATGCTGTGTCTCTGTCAAATAAATAAACAAAATCTTTAAAAAAAAAAAATAAAACACTATGTCAAATGAACCTAACAGATATATACAGGACATACCATCCAACAGGATCACAATAAATATTCTTCTCAAGCACACATGGAACATTTTCTAGGATAGATCACATTTTAGACCACAAAACAAGAGTCTCAAAAAAAATCAAGAATATAGAAAGCATATCAAGTATCTTTTCCAGGCAAATCATATTAAACTAGAAATCAATAACAGAAGGAAATCTGGAAAATTCACAAGTACACAGACATACACATTTTTAAACAACCAAGAAATAAAAAAAAGACAAAATGGGGAAAAAGTATACCTTGAGACAAATAAAAATAAAAAATTATACCAAATCTTATGGGAAGCAGCAAAGCAGTTATAAAAGGAAAGTTTATAGCCATAAATGTATATACCAAAAAGAAAGATTTCAAATAAACAACCTAATATTACACCTCAAAAAAACTAGAAAAAGAACAAAGTAAACCCAAAATTAGCAAAAGGAAGGAAAAAATAAAAATTAGAGCCATAATAAATGAAATAAAGAATAAAAAAAAAACAACCTAGGAATTGCTTTTTTAAATGGTAAATAAAATTGGCAAGATTTTAACTAGACTAACTCAGAAAAAGAGAGAGGACTCAAAATCAGAAATGAGAGAGGAGACATTATAACAGAAACCACAGAAATACAAAGGATCAAAAAAGACTATTATTAACAGATATATGCCAACAAATCAAAAAGCCTAGAGGAAATGGACAAATTCCTAGGCATATACAACCTATCAAGACTGAATCATAAAGAAATATAAAATCTTTATATATAAAATATGAAATATTAAAAAAAAGGTCAATAATGAGTAAGGAGATTGAATCAGTAATAAAAACCTTCCAACAAATAAAAGTCCAGAATCAGATGGTTTCTACAGTGAATTCTACCAAACATTTAAAGAATGTTTTTAAACTCTTCCCAAAAAGTTGAAGAGGATGGAACACTCCCAAGCTCATTTTACAAGGCCAGCATTATCTTGATACCAAAACCAGATAAGGGCACTACAAGAAAAAACAAAACAGCAATAAAAAGAACTATTGGATAATATCCCTGGTATATAAAAATGCAAAAATTCTCAGCAAAATACTGCAAAACTGAATTCACCAGCACATTAAAATATCATAAATAATGATCAAGTGAGATTCATTCCTGGGATTTAAGGATGGTTGAAAATATGCAAATCAGTAAATATGATACATCATATTAATAAAATGACTGATAAAAATCATATGATCATCTCAATATATGCCGAAAAGGCATTTGACAAAATTCAACATCTTTTCATGATAAAAACACTCAACAAACTGGGTACAGAAGGAATGCACGTCAACGAAATAAAAACCACATATTGCAAGCCCATAGTTAACAACATACTCAATGGAAAAGGTTGAAAGTTTTCCCCTCGAAGATCAGAAACAAGACAAGTGTGTCCACTTTCACCATTCTCATTTGACATAGTACTGGATCTCCTAGCCAGAGAAACCAGGCAAGCAAAACAAATAAAAGGCTTCCAAATAAAAAAAGGAGTAAAATTTTCTGTTTATAGATGACATGAATTTACATAAAAAAAAATCCTAAAGACTCTACTAAAAAAAAATTTAGAATAAGCAAATTTAGTAAAGTTGCAAAATAGAAAATCAATATACAAAGGGCATGAGCTTTTTTCTATATGGAACGCTTCACAAATTTGCACGTCATCCTTGTGCAGTGATCATGCTAATCTCTATATCATTTCAATTTTAGTATATGTGCTGCCAAAGTAAGCACAAGACATGAGTATTTTAACACTCTAACGATGAACTATCTGAAAAAGAAAATCTAATTCACAATAGCATCAAAATCATAAAATACTTAGGAATAAATTTAACTGAGGAGATGAAAGATTTGTACACTATAAACTATGACATTGATAAAGAAATTGAAGGAGACACAAATGAAAGATACTCCATATTTATGAGTGGTAAAAATTAACATTGTTAAAATGTCCATACTACACAAAGCAATCTGTAAATTCAATCCCCAGCAAAATTCCTATGTTATTTTTTACAGAGATAAACAAAAAATCCTAAAATTCATATGAGGCCATAAAAGACCCAAATAAACAAAGCAGTTTTGAGAAAGAATGAAGTAGAGGCATTACACTTCCTGTTTCGAAACTATACTACTAAGACCTCATACTCAAAACAATAAAGTACCAGCATAAATACAGACCAATAAACAAGTGGAACAGAATTGATAGTCCAGAATTAAATCCTTTCATACAGTCACCTAGTATTTGACCTAATTATTTGCCAGCATATGTAATGGGGAAAAAATAATCTGTTCAATAAATGATCTTTAAAACTAGTCACAGGGGCACCTGGGTGGTTCAGTCATTAAGTGTCTGCCTTTGGCTCAGGTCACAATCCCAGGGCCCTGGGATCGAGCCCTGCATCGCGTTCCCTGCTTGGCAGGAAATTGCTTCTCCCTCTCCCACTCCCCTGCTGTGTTCCCTCTCTTGCTGTGTCTCTCTCTCTTTCTAATAAATAAAATCATAAAAAAAAAAAATCTGAATAGTCACATATGACAGTATGAAACTGGACCCCTATCTTACATCAGTCATAAAACTTAACTTGAAATAGATTAAAGACTTAAATGTAACACATGAAACTTTAAAATTCCTAAAGGAAAACATAGGGGAAATCTCCTTGACATTGGTCTTGCCAATAATTTTGTGGATATAAGACCAAAAGCTAAATAAATAAATAAATAAATAAATAAATAAATAAATGGGATTACATCAAACTAAAGTTTCTGCATAGCAAAAAAAAAAAAAAAAAAGAAGATAATGAAAATGCAATCCACAGAATGGGAGAAAATATTTGCAAATCTTACATCTGAAAAGAGGTTAACCAACATATATAAAGAACTCCTACAATTCAATCGCAAAAAAAAAAATCTAATTTAAAAAATAGCAAAAGGACCTGAATAGACATTTTTTTTTTTTTTCAAAGAAGATATATAAATGACCAACAGGTACAGGAAAAGGTGCTCTACATAAACAATCAGGTCAAGGTCATTTTATTTTTTTACCTTTAAAAAACAGCAAGATATTACCCACTGTCTGTTAGATACTATCAAAAAAACTGAAAATAACAAATTTTGGGAAATATTGGGGAAATGGGGAACTCGTGCACTGTGGTAGGAATATAAATTTGTATGGAAAACAGTATGGAGATTATTCAAATTATTAAAAGTAAAATTACCATATGATTCAGTAATCCCACTTCTGGTATATACCTGAAGAAAATGAAGTCACTATCTCGAAGACATATCTGCAATCCTATGTTCATTATAAAATTATTAACTCTAGCCAAGACATGGAAATAACTTCAGTGTCCATCAATGGATGAACAAATAAAATAAGTATGGGATATATATACTATGGAATACTACTCAACCATGAAAAACTAAGAAATCCTGCCATTTGCAACAACATGGATGGAACTTGAGGGCATTATGCTAAGTGAAATAAGTCATACAAAGAAAGATATATTATTGAATGATTTCACTTATATATAGAATCTGAAAAAAGGCAAACTAATAGAAACTGAGAGTAGATTAGTGATTGACAGGGTGTGGGGATAGGGTGGAGTAAGATGGTCAAAGGGTACAAACTTGCAACTATAATATGAATAAGTTCTAGAGATCTGATGTACAGCATGATGATCATAGTTAACAATAGATGCATACCTTGTTTTACTGTGCTTCACTTTATTGCACTTTGCACATAATCACATTTTTACAAATTGAAAGTTTGTGGCAATCTTGCATCAAACAGGTCTGCTGCCACAATTTTTCCAACAGCATTTGCTCATTTTGTGTCTCTGTGTCACATGTTGGTAATTCCTGCAATATTTCAAATTTTTTCATTATTACTGTATTTGTTATGGTGATCTGTGATCAGTAATTATGACTCACTGAAAACTCAGAAAATGGGTATCATTTTTTTAACAATAAAGTACTTTTTTAGTTAAGGTATATACATTTTTTTTTTTTAAGATTTTATTTATTTATTTGACAGAGAGAGAATGAGAGAGAGAGCACATGAGAGGGGGGAGGGTCAGAGGGAGAAGCAGACTCCCCGCTGAGCAGGGAGCCCGATGTGGGACTCGATCCAGGGACTCCAGGATCATGACCTGAGCCGAAGGCAGTCGCTCAACCAACTGAGCCACCCAGGCGCCCAAGGTATATACATTTTTTAAGACGTAATGCTTTTGAACACTATAGTGTAAACATAATTTTTATATGCACTGGAAAACCAAAAAAAAAAAAAAATACTAATTTGACTTAGTTTATTGAGATAATCACTTTATTGAGGTGGTCTGGAACCAAACCCACAATATCTCTGAAGTTTATCTCTATGGTACTATATACAAGAAAGTTGCTAAGAGAGTAGGTCTTAAAATTCCTTATCACACATGTACAAAAAGTGATGGCAACTATATGAGATGGTAGATGTATTAACATTCTTATGTTAGTTATTTTGCAATATAGATGTATAGCAATTTATCATATTGTACAAAATTCACACAATGTTAAAACATTTGCAATGTTATAGGAAATTATTTCTTAAATTTACAAATTATGTCAATTATTTCTCAAAAAAGCTGGAAAAAAGCTTTTTATAGAATTAATCTATTTTTCGGGCACCTGGGTGGCTCAGATGGTTAAGCGTCTGCCTTCGGCTCAGGTCATGATCCCAGGGTCCTGGGATCGAGTCCCACATTGGGCTCCCGGCTCCGCGGGGAGCCTGCTTCTCCCTCTGACCCTCTCCCCTCTCATGCTGTTTCTCTCTCGCTTGCTCCCTAAAAAATAAATAAAATATTAAAAAAAAAAAAGAATTAATCTATTTTTCAAAAAAGGAAGTAAGGAGGTAGAAACTGCAACTAACTCTGAAATAACAGAATATAAAATCCATTTTAGTTATATAACCTGTGACCAAAACTATTACTTAGTTTACAATGAAGCAATACTTAATGAAGCATGGAGGATGGGCTATAAATAAGCCTGAAAGAAGTCAGCTTTAAGGTTTAAATTTAAAATCTTTTGAAATACTAAATTGACCATCCAGTTTTTCAAAGATAAATGTCTTAACTGCATGAATTTATTTCATACAACTCTATCATCTAATTTCATAAGAAAGCACCATACAAATTTGGAACAAGACAGACTTGTTTAAGTTTCTTTATGTTCAACAGTAAAGGATACTTCCCTAAAAATAAATAGAAGAAAAATCAGTGTATTTATTATAGTAATTATTATTCATAATGAGATTCATATTGAGTTATGGAATGCACATTTTTAGAGGGGGTAAAGTAAAATGAAATATATTTTGGTAAATGTGTCTATGAATAGTCAATATAGTGCCTCATAATATAAATGAATATCATCATTTTGAACAATTTAATTACTACTATTAGAATTATTATAAGTATAAAAATAGCTATCATTTTAGCATGGAATATGAAACTCTCATGCTCCATGCTTCATTAAATCCACACAACAACTCTGCATAATAAGTATTATCATCACCATTTCATGGGTGAAAAAACTGAGGCTAACACATTTAGATAACTGGTTTATGATTACATGGCTAGTAAAGATGCATCACACTAATTTAGGCTTTATGATTTCAGAATTGTACTCTTTCCACTGCACATTCTATTACTCTGTAAATACTTGGCTTGCTTTCATTTAATTCTTTAATTTTACTCATGTGGTGATGGCTTAAAGCTTCATTTGAAGGAAGCTTAGAAAATTCATTTAAGCAAAAGCTCCCAAGAATTAAAAATGTCATGCATCTAATGTAGACATGGATATCATTAGTTAATGGGTAACTATATATTTTCTACTCTAGTGAGATGACAGAATATCTTTCTAAGTTTTAGGCTCTGAGTGTTAGAAGGGCTTTGTTAAAATAGAAATATCGGGGGCGCCTGGGTGGCTCAGTCATTAAGCGGCGGCCTTCGGCTCAGGTCATGATCCCAGGGTCCTGGGATCGAGCCCCGCATCGGGCTCCCTGATCCGCAGGAAGCCTGTTTCTCCCTCTCCCTCTCCCCCTGCTTGTGATCCTGCTCTCACTGTGTCTCTCTCTGTCAAATAAATAAATAAATAAAATCTTTAAGAAAAAGAAATATCTATTTTACAATATTGTATTTTACAATACAAGGGTAACCAAAAGTCTAGGTCAGGTCACCTTAAGATAAATATTAGGAAACTGAGGAAACAAATGGAGATTTGAACACTGAAGTATGATATAATAGATGGCTTAAAGTACTTGGCAGACTACAGAAAGCCCTATAAAGTCTCCTTAGCCTAGCTTTACAGCTTCTGGGCTGTATATATATATAGGATATATATATATTGAATCGAAAACTCATTTAACTGGAACTTTTTGAGAAATAGAACATAGCCAGAACCATAGAAGACCTCTTTTTGTTAACAACCTAACCCCTTCTCCCAGTTTGTTAATATTCTTTGCTATTTAATATACCATTGTACAAATATGCCACTATTTATTTGCTGTTGTGAACAGAATGACTAGATCATTTGTATGCATATCCTGGTGCAAAAATTCATTTAATGTATTTCACGCTATATTTCTAGGAATGGACCAAAGATTTATTTATCCTTAAGTTCTCTAAGTATTGTCCAACTTACCTAAAATGTTTTTATTATATATACTCTACCAGCAAAATATGGACACTGTCATTATTTTACATTCT